AGTAACGCCGTGTGTGGCAGGCCACCTATAGACAGAGTCCTATACTTGGATCTGTCATGCGCATTTATTTTGCCTAACGAGCGATATATATCGTAGTCCGCGAGTTTCGGGGCATTTCACAACAATTATATTTTGTAAGTAAAAGTGAATATTAATGTAATATATAAGGTAATATGTAATTGAGAAAGTTATACAGGTTCACGCAGTGATTTATTTTCAATTATTTCTGCGAAGTGAAAATTACCACCATTAAACAAATTTTTAATAGATTTGGTACAAACAGTTCTTACAAATGTAGCAACTAACCTCCAAACTTCCTAAACAACTTTTAGCCTCCTTTCAAATAAAATTCTACGGATAACCGTGTTTTCATTTTTACATTTACAAATAACCCTACATATATTTTAAATAACATTTTCACCTGCCTTTTATCCATTTCTCGCATATTCAACAATTAAAATAATCGAAATTAATTAACAGAAAATCTGAGAGAGTTAAACAAATATCAACAATAAACTACAATTTTACATATCATAAGACTCTTCATATACGTGTGTAATGAATTTCACGTTTAAGAAATATTTGTTATATATATTCGAGAATTAGTACCTGGCCTCAACGCAAAATTTGTTAGTGAAAAACTCACCGACGTTGCAACTTTAAAAACGTTTTTCTGGATAAAGGGCGCCTAAAGGCAGCTAATGTCGATGAATTTATGTTGTTTAGAACATGTACTTTAATTTCCAATGTTAACTTTTCTCGGCACTATTAAGCGTTTTTTTAAAATTATAATTAAAAATGAGATTTTAAACGTTTTTTTAATAAAATGCGAAAATGTTGATAAGATATCTAAAAGTGACTATTTTCAGTTCATAATATCAGAAAATATAGTACTGAATGAGACGAAACAAGTGGTATAAAATTTGTTAGAAAAAAATCCATTTGTTCGTAATAAATTTGTGTTGAACAATATTCCACATTTTACTCAATTTAAGAAGACTTAAAAATGCTTGAAGTTATATGATTGTAACTATTTTTTCATTTAATTAGATGCCATATAATATTGAAAAGAGAGAAATATATGTACTTAACTAAATATTTTGACTACTTAAAGGTTAATATTTGATACTTCATTTTTTCACCCAATGTCCAAGAATTTAGGCTTTCTGAATCACTGTGCGCCGCCGGTCTCAGCCTGTTGAGTACCAAGCGATGCGGACGCCCCCAAGGGTCCCGATTGAGTTCCGCCAACAACTCTTCCCAGGCCTTGGCCTTGGCCCTGCCAATGGTTAGTTGCAGCGAGCCCCTTGCGGCCAGGCATTCGCTGCGCTCCTCGGTAGTGTTCTCCTCATCTCCTCCCGCCCTTCGTCGGGCTCTGAGGAGATCGCGTTTGGCAGTGTTTACTCGCCTTCGCAGATCCGCGATCTCCTCCGTCCACCAGTAGGCCGCCCGACGAGGGGCGGGCTTTGATCGGGGCATGGCCGCGTCGCAAATACGCTCGGCCATGTCCCCGATCTCCTCGGCTTCGGCCTCGGTGTCGACGAGGTCGGGAAAATCCAACCACGTTTCCACCAAGGCCGCCGCCACCAGTTTGTCTTGGTCTATACGGGCCAGTGCCCATCTTTTTGGGGGTTTATCGCCCCTTTGTTGATGGCGGCGGATCAGCACTTCCTGGGGGGTGGCAGTCAGGACCATCTCTATGTAGACCATCTCTACATAAAGATGGTCCAAAAGGGACTCTCGGTCCGCCATCCTCCAGTTTCCTACCAAGTGTGCCGCCCGGGGAGATGCCCACGTTAAGTCAACGATGGACTCCTCCCGGGGACGGACACAGGTGCTCTCCGACCCCCTGTTTTGCAACAAGAGATCTAGCTCCGCCGCCCAATCCAGCACGGCCTCACCCCTACGGTTGGTGCGCCGGGAACCCTACGCCTGAGCCCAGGCGTTAAAGTCCCCGGCCACCAGTACGGGATGGGGGAGGCATCGGCGAATACCAGCCCCCATTGCCCGCAGCTGCTCCAAAAATTCGGGATGAGGCTGTCTTGGCGGGGCATAAACCCCCATCACGTGGAAGGCACCTCACCGCGCCATAACAAACCTCACTCCCCGTTCCATAAGGGTAAGAGGAGGGGGGAGCGCGGGGAATGCCTCCTCACGATGACGACGGAGCCGTCCGAGGCTGAGACCCAATTGGGGTTGGAGTCCAGCACCCGGTACGGCTCTGCCGCCACCCCCAGTCTTGCGTCACGCTTGCACAGGTCCGCTAGGAAAAGATCCTGGGCCCGGCGAGCGTGATTCAGGTTGGCCTGAAGGAAGTTCGTGGACATTATTGGTTCCTTTGAACCTGTCCCTCCTTCAGGCCAACTTTCCGGCTTCTTCGGCGGCAGCCGGCGATGGATCAACGTCCATACTCTCAATGAGGGAATTAGATTCCCCCATAATGGGCGACGTCGCCGCTGCCGCCGGTTTTTCCGCCATCTTAAGAGGAGGGATGGGTGGCCGATGTGGCTACCCCCCCCCCTCTTCTCTTGCCCCTTTGGGGGCTTGCATGCCGGCCCCCCCATACGGTAAGAGGTCGGGCGTCCCGCGTCATGGCACACGACGCATCTTGCCGGCGCCGTGCACGTACGGGTCTCGTGCTCCGACACACCGATAGCATAGACCGCTTTGGTCCGCGGTCGTGTTGGGGCACTTCGCCCTAACATGGCCCCTCTCCAGGCATTTGAAACATTGAAGAGGGCGCACCTCCAGTAGCTCTACACGGGCTGTATAGAGCCCGTCTATCGCAATGCGATCTTGTTGGCCGCCCTAAGGGGACACTTCACCCAGGCCGTAGGAAGGCCTCTGGAAGTAAGGAAGGGTTTAAAGTCCCCCACCTTAACCTCGGTGGGGAAGCATCTTCCCTTCTCCGCCACGGCCTGGGCAACGCTTTCGGCCGTGGCCGACTGCACCAGATCCCGGATACGGATCTCCCCCATTTTCTGGGGTCGGTTGATCCGTATCTCGGGTCTGTCCGTGAACAGGTTGCACATTTCTTGTGCCAACCTGTCCGCGCGCTCCTTGCCATTGGGGCCCGATATCTCGAGGATAAGGGCCCCAGTTTGGCCCTATTTGGGCTTGATCTGGGAGATCCCCATCTCTTTGATGGGGATCTCCTTTGCCAGCACCGCAGCGTATTCTCCCTCTAAACACGTAAGGGTAACCGCCGCGGTGTTAGGCACCTTCCTTTTCTTCTTCCCCTTCTCTCCCCCGGTGCCCGGTTTGGGCGGAGAGGAAGGGGATTTGGGGGCAGTTTTGGGAGCCGCCTTTGTGGCCCCTTGGGCGCCCTTTGCCGTTACAGTGGGAGGGGTCTCCTTCTTCCTCCTCTTCCACCTCCGTATACAGGGTGGGCCATTTTAATCCATCCACGCAAATAACTCTGTAAGTAAGCCAAATACAAAAAAATGGTTTAGACAAAAGTTGTTCAGGACAATGGGGGTTACCTATTTGTGCTAGTGACTTTGACTTTGAAGTCAATTTTCAAGGTTATTTAAAGGTCAGAGTTATTTTTTTAAATGGAAATCTCTATTTTTGATTCCAAAATCTAATAGCTGGTGTCAAGAGCTTTTCAAAACACTATAATGAAGTTATTTTTTATTAAGTACTTTTCGAGTTATAAGGCTTGTAAATTACAGTATTTTGACATAAAATAAAAAATATCTTGTAAAACATTCAATTTTTGGGAATCTTACCTTAATACTTTTATGCATAAAATAATGAGACGAATCAATTGGTATAAAAAAAACACATAGTTGCTTTCAAGAAAAAATATGTAATTTGCAACATGCAACTACATACCTTTTTTTTAAACCAATGTGTTTTCTTTATACCAATTGATTCGTCTCATTATTTTATGCATAAAAGTACGCCGGCAGCGATAGCTGGAGAGGCTTTTCCTCCGGGGGGAATTGATTGCCCCGGTTTAACAATCGGGGCTTTCTTTTCCCTCTTAGGGGGAGGAGAAGGGTGGGCAGTGGGCTGTCGCATAGCGGCGGACTGCGCCGATTCCTATCTCTTCCCCTTCTTTCCGCCCTCCCTCTTTGAATCCCCGGATGAGAGAGCCACCCTCTTAACGAAGGGTGGACCCGTACTGCCAGGGGGTTTGAAGGGAGGGGGGGTCAGGCAAAGAGGGGAGCCTATCTCCTAAGAGCTCCCTCACAATGCGGGGGAGCATTTCCCCGACCTGTTTAAGGGGTAACACCACTGTAAAATTTTCAAAAAATCGATTTTTTTTTTGGGCTTAAAAAATCCTTTGAACCCTGTAGAATACGAGGAAAAAACTTTTATACGTGAAACTAATTTTTTTCATCGAAATTCCGAGCTGTGTACCGAACGAGTCGGGCGACTCCGAAACAGCTACCTGCTCCGGGTGGAAACCTGTCGAGAGAGTAGTGCATAATACCTTGCTTATTGATTTCTAAGTTATGTGAGACACTACTAGATGTCTCTAGAGGTAGTTTTAGAAGCATTTTCATATAGAAACACGTGTTTACGCGTCAGTATTGCATTATTTCGTGTATGAAACACATGATTTTCCCGCTTGAAATCAATAACCGTCGTTTATTGTTGTACGTGTGCGCTTCGAGTTGAGCAGTTTTTGTGTAATTTCGGAGTGTTAGCAAAATGAGTGATAAAAAAAAAATGTATTTGCGACAAAAAGGCACAAAAGAATTTCATTCAACGCGGTGTCGAAGCAACGTGTCGAAAAGACGACCGAAGAACAGATTCGAGATTGAAGGTGACGCGGAAGGCGTAAGTGCGTCTGCCAAGAAGTTGAAAACGAGTGAAGACTTTGACGTAAATTATGACTTCAGGTACAGAATTATAAATTTTGTGGCAGTTTTTGCTGTGATTTCACAACATGTGAAGTGTAAAAACTGTAATTCCGATATTACTTTTCGTGAAAGAGATCCTCGTGGCTTAGGCTTCAAAATAGTTATCGCTTGTCCTAATTGCCCGGAAGTTGTAATTCCTAGTTGTAAATATATACGAAACGCATACGAAATAAATCGTCGAATCGTTCTAGCTATGCGATTAATAGGAGTTGGACTAAATGGAATTATAAAGTTTTGTGCTTTCATGGAATTACCACGTCCAGTATTCCAATCTTTTTACGATAAATTAGTGAATATGATTTCAATCGCAACATCAGCAGTAAAAGATTCCAGTTTGAAAAAAGGAGCACAAAAAGAGAAGAAATGACTGAAGAACATGGACAATCTGCAGGAATAACGGTTTCCGGTGATGGTTCTTGGAGAAAACGCGGATTTTCTTCGCTTTTTGGGATCATGTCATTGATTGGTTGGTTTTCTGGGCAAATTGTCGATGTTGAGGTAAAATCTAAATATTGTAAAAGTTGCGAACAGTGGAAGAAAAAATTGGACACTTGTAACTATGACGAATGGTATAAAACGCACGCCGATGTATGTAAAGCGAACCACGAAGGATCATCGGGAAAAATGGAAGTTGACGCAGTCATCGAGATGTTCCATCGCTCAAAAGATTTGCACGATCTCAAATATTCAAGCTACATCGGGGATGGTGATAGCAAAACATTTAAAGGTATTATCGACTCTGAACCGTATGAAGATTTAGTAGTACAGAAGAAAGAATGCATCTCGCACGTACAGAAAAGAATGGGAACGCGACTTCGTAATCTTAAAAAATCATCGAAAAACCTCGGAGGAAAAGGAAAATTAAGTGCCAAATTAATAGACGAGCTGACTATTTATTATGGTTTGGCCATTCGTCGGAACCCAACATCCTTAGATGACATGAAAAATGAAATTTGGGCGACCTTATTTCATAAGTTATCAACTGACGAAAATCCGCAACACGAGAAGTGCTCGAAATCTTGGTGCAATTGGAAGAAGGCGCAAGAAGCAGGTACCTTGGACACTTTCCGTCACAAGTCACCGCTTTCCGAGGAAGTTTACGAAGCCATAAAACCTATTTATGAAGATTTGAGTCGGGACGAGTTACTAAACCGTTGCCTGGGCGGTTACACGCAGAATAGTAACGAAAGTTTCAATGCGACAGTGTGGAATTTGGCTCCTAAATCGTATTCAAGCGGCAAGACAGTCCTAAATATAGCAGCGGATATCGCTACATGCGTCTTTAATGATGGAATAACTAATATTTTACGTATTGTGCAGCTTCTGGAAATGGAAATTGGCGTCGAAGCATATAATTTTTGCATCGAATCCGATGCAAAACGAATCAAGCACGCAGAGGCGCAATTATCAGATGCGGCAAAAAAAGCGCGCTCTGGCATAACATCTGCGAGGAAAGAAATGGAGGACGAATATTCCAACTTAGAAGGGCAGCTTTACGGTGCTGGGATTGCAGACTAATGGTAAAAATTTTTTTTGAGTCGAATTTTCAATTTTTTCATGTTCATAATACAACTCCAAACTTTAAACGCGTTTTTCTCGAAACACGTTTTTTCAACGCGGCAAGCAGTATAACTCTAACAATTTTAAATATTTTCACTTGAATTTTTTACTGTACATTCAAAACAACATTTCGAAGTACAATACGTATGGAATTTTTGATACGTTGCTCTAAACATTTTTTATTGCCAAATAATGTCACTTTTTTTTGTCGAAAAATGAACGACTTTATTCAAATGCTCGCCAATCACTCAAAAATCAATATTTCTAAAATCCCATACGTATTGTACTAGATATACCATTGAAGATCATGAGGAATTTTTTTATTTGTTCTAGGTTCAAATTTCCAACGGCTACACTGCTTGCCGCGGACCCCTTTATTTTAAAGGATCATCGGGAATATGGCTGCCATTCCGCCAATTTGTAATATTATTATATGAAAAAATTTTTACAAGTACTTCAATATATGCTTATTAACTTCACGGAGTATTAATACTTTATTTCATTTCCTTCCATTAAAAAAAAAATGTTGAAAAAGTGCAATTTTTTGGGCCGTTACAGTGGTGTTACCCCTTAACCACCTCCTGCACAATGGTGCCAACTAGGCCACCGTGCAGGAGGGTGTTACTCGTTACCACCGGCAAAGGGTGGTCTTCCAACACTTTTACGACCCCCATAATCAGGGGTCTCTGCCGGGAAGTTAACGAGGTCTTCCCTAGTGATTGTCATCGTGGGAGAGGGCTCCGGAGGTGGGACCTCCACCGACTCCCCCATGATGACTTCCTCGTCCGCGTTGTCCTCCTTTGCAACCCTGGCCCTGGACCGGGTGTTGATAGGTGAGGGAGGAGGGGAGGTTCTCTCTCTTTCCTCCCTCTCCCTACGGAGGTCAGCGACCTCTTTCTCCAGGCGGCGGTTTGCCGCTAGGATCTTCTCCGCGAGCGCGTTGGCGGGGAAAGGGCCTTTCCCGCTACGGGGTCGTAGTACCCCCTCTCCGCGCGTTCCGCCAGGGTCGCTGCGCCTGCCTCGAGGGAGGAAGCCGCGACATAGAGGAGTTTAGCAAGGCTCCCTTTGAGACCTTTCCAGACCCCGGCGATCTCAAGGATAGAGTCCGTGCTCACCTTGAGGTCGTCCAGGATCTGTTGGACCGGCGCCGATTCATATTGCGCGACCTTGCTTTTTATCATGCCCACGTGCTTGTGGTATCGCTCGGTCGTTCGGTCCGTCTCATGATGAGGATTTATTATCCTCTCGGAGACCTTGCGGTGGAGCTTTTCGATCCGCTCCACGGCCTCCTCCCTCCTTTTTCGGGTGGTGTGCTGTCCTACTTGTAAGGGATCCTTTGCGAGGCGTCCCCTAAGATCCTCCTTCCTGGCTTGGGCCTTGAGGATCTCCTGATCCTCTTCGTCGGAGGACAAGAGGTCGCCCCTTTTTGCCCTCTTCTCCCTCTTTTTCCTCCTCTCGTCGGAGGAGGGAGAATCAGGGAGGATGGTGATCTCCCTGCTTTTCCTAGGCCTCTTGGCTCCTGTCGACGATGCGCTGGTTCTGGTGACGGACGAGAATCTGGTCTCGTATCCGTCACCGTCATTGTCGGAGCAGAGGTCGACGGATGGAGCCCCGCAAAAAAGGCTCTCCTCCGACCCCGCCCGAGATAAACTCTGCGGTCGCTTCGGAGACCCAGCACGAGACGGATCTCGTGATGTAGCCGGAGTACCCGCAGGAGTGCCCTTCTTCGACCTTGGACAAGGTCGGTAAAAAAGGAGGAGGGAGGGGGGTAGCTTCCCCCCCCCCGTCCCTCTTTCCATCATTTTGTCATCTGAGTCAGCGCCCCCTCTCAATCTCAACACCGAGATTTGAGATAAGACGCCTGACTCTGGAGACATCCTGGATGCCTCCTCTCCCGTTCCCCCAACTACGAGAGTTGGTCTCTCGGCTGAGAAATTCGGTTTCTCGGGCGCGAGATATACATTCTGTCAAAAAAGTACCGGGAATTGTCGATTTAAATCTGGCGGGGCAATGAGGCAGGTAAAATTTTTTTTTCCTAGGTTGGTACCACTGTCCTTAATTACTATGCCAAGCTTGAGCGGGATCTGTCAACTAGTGTGTTTGCAACAGCTGGTTAAGTCAGTCGATGTCAGTAGTGCGTGCCGATTTTTTACTATGGGTGATTACGTTGAGCAAAGAATTTGTTTAAAGTTTTGTGTTGCAAATGAATTTTCGTGTGCCGATGCATTGAAAATGTTGCAAAAGGCCTTTGGTGATAATGCTCTATCGAAAACTCGTGCATATCAGTGGTACAGAGCCTTCAAGGACGGTCGTGAAGTGGTCGAAGACTTGCCTCGTTCCGGACGCCCATCGACGGCTTCGACCAAAGATAACGTCGATAAAATTAAGGAAAGGGTGCTTGAAAACCGTCGTACCAGCTTGAGAGAGATAGCACATGATCTTGAGATATCCCACGAGTCCGCACGTACGATTTTGATTGATATTTTGGGCATGAGAAAGGTGGCCGCACGACTCGTACCGAAAGAGCTGAATTTTCTTCAAAAACGCCATCGCGAACAGGTCGCTTCAGACATGCTGGATTGCTGTAATTCCGATTCTACATTCATGGAACGCATTATAACTGGTGATGAGACCTGGGTCTACGAGTACGATATGCAAACAAGCCAGCAAGCATCGGAATGGGTGGAAAAAAATGAGCCGAAACCGAAAAAACCACGCCAAAGCCGCTCGAAAATGAAGGTGATGCTCATTGTTTTTTCGATATCCGTGGCGTGGTGCACTACGAATTCGTTCCAGAGGGTCAGACGGTAAACAAGGAGTATTACCGAGGCGTTATGAAACGTTTGCGTGAGCGTATCCGTAAGAAGCGGCCAAATTTGTGGGCGAACAACTCATGGATTTTGCATGACGATAACGCGCCTTCTCACCGAGCTACGATTGTGACTGACTTTCTCGCCAAAAACTCAACGAACGTGCTTCAGCAACCACCGTATTCGCCGGATTTGGCCCCCTGCGACTTTTTCCTCTTCCCAAAACTAAAATTGCCGCTTCGTGGCACCTGTTTTGAGTCGATTGAAGCCATAAAACAAAATTCGGCGCGAGAGCTAAAGTCCATCCCGGAAAGCGCCTATAAAAAATGTTTCGATGATTGGAAGTGCCGTTGGCATAGATGTATTGGAGCAAATGGAGCCTATTTTGAAGGCAACCCAATAAATTTTGATGATTAAATGTAAAAATGTTGTTTTAATTGAAAATTCCCGATACTTTCTTGACAGAATGTACCTCCTGATGACCACTATCATTTTTATTTAAGAGCAACATTTCTGTTTCAATCCCACTACCCACTGCGGCTTCGCTGACCGGGCATGCCCTCCAAATCCCGAGTTCCCCCGGAAGGTCAGCATATGGCGCGGGCACCGGGAATAAACATCCGGTGCACTGGCCTCCGGCCCCTTACTTACCCCTGGTTTTACCCAGGGGCTTTCGGGGGTCCCACACATCCGACAATGTGGGCATCGCAGTGGGCGCAGCTACGCGGGGGGCCCCACGGACGGTTGGGGAGTGTTGCGACCCACTCCGCGCCTTACCCGCCGTGGCGACCAGCAAACAGACTCCTCGACCGATCACTCCGGAACCGGTAGAACCGGGACGCACTCCGGTAGTGATCGGTCCTCACTGCTCGACCCTGCCTTGGAATACTTTCACAAGGAGGGGAAGGTGCCCGTCCTGAGGCATGTATTGTATATTCATTTCAGGCGGGCACCTATCACGCCAAAGGCCAAGGCCCATGCTCGACCGGGGACCCCGTCCGGGCCAGGGGCTTTGCCAGTAGCCCCCAGCCTTTTGACCGCCTCGGAGAACTCCCTCTCGGAGATTGACGTCAGCGGTCTCGCTTGTATGGGTATCCCCTCCACTACGGTACCCATGGTACTAGCGAGCTCGAATTGGCATCACTGCGACTCGGTAACTCGCGGTATCGGCAGTAGATGCTCGATTCGGTAACTCACGGTACTCCACGTATTTCGGAAGCTAGGTAACTTACCCAATATCGGCAATAAATGCACGATTAGGTAACAGCGGTAACAGAGATAACCTGACGAAATCGGTAACCGGAAATGGACGCCAGGTGCGTGTAATCGCACCGCGGTATCGGTAACTTCGAGAATTTTTTTAATATGTCCGGCCGCTCCCCGCTCAGTATATGGCAGAGGGGCACAGTTCTTTTAGGCAACGTTAAGAATCCGGAGTGAAAGGCGAACGCAAAGACAACTTAGTGATTAATAGGTAACAATAATGTATATTTCACAATTAGTTTAACAAAGGTTAAAGATGAGTAGATATGATTCGGCCTAAGCCGATAAGACGGAGATAGTTTTAGTACGGCGGTATGAAGGCAATTCGCCCGCAAAATCGGTAACATAGAATAAATTTCTGTACCTGCATGGTGTAACGTTCTCCGGCCGTTATAGTTAAATTTTTTCAAACGTTTTTTTTACAAGAACGTTCTTAAACATTTCCGAATCTTCCAGAATATTCCACGTTCTCGAACCTTCTGGAAAATCCTCGAACGTACCCTGTCTCGGAAGCACGTACGTGACCCACCATAAAACCCTTGAACGTGCTCGGTCCCCGAGGCACGTACGGGACCCGCTATAAAACCCTCAAACGTGCTGGGTCCCCAAGGCACGTACGGAACCCACCATAAAATCATCCAACTTTCTCCAACCTTTTTTTTTTTTAGACCTATCCGTAAGAACCTTCAAACCCAAAATTCTAAAAACCCTGTTTTTGCGATAAAAATAATAAAATATTTGGGTATAAAAAAATCCACGCTAGCCAAGTAAGTTCAGTTATACTCCGGTCTCGACGCTAGCAACATCTCTCCAAATTCGACTCAAAATCCAAAACAAATCAATTCTGTATCAGCGACCTATGTAGACTTAAACATTCGAACTTAG